TTATAAGATCACTTTGAGTCTATATCATATGGCAATTGGAGATGGAAAATTTCAAGCCATATTTAATATCCCTGTGAGGAAATGGTGTGAGGGGCCACATCTGACCTACTTCAACTATACAAGGGGGAAGGGGACTCCAACTGCACAACTGCCCAAGGATGATTCCTATGAAGCAGGAGTCAGGGATGTCTCCACCCTTTATCCTATTCTGACACCAGCCATCCTTTCCACATAACTCTTCTTCTCTGCCATGGCCACACACAACTCACAGACAGCACTCATGATTATGGGGCTTCTTAGGGAAGCTCACAACAACAACAACATTAGGGAAGTTAACACATTGCAATTGGTATCACTGCAAGTTCTTTTGTTTACAGCGCCTGTTCTCTGTCTTGCTGGCAGGAATATCTCTTTCTGGTCCTTGACCTCTCAGCCACACAGTCCCTTGGCCCCTGCCCTGCTTGAGCAAGTGTTACAAAGCTCCATTAGCACTGATAAATGGTCAAAGGGCATCCCAAAGCTGGTCTCCTGACTCAGCTTGACTTGTTGCATGGGCCATGAGCCCTGCTGCTCTGTTTCATGGTCCCTGCTGCTGCTCTGGTTGCTTCTTCACAGCCTCTGCTTTTGCTACCTCCCTCTGGCTAAGAGTAGCTCCTTCCTCTGCTCTCGTCCCACTTATGAGATGACTCACTTTGTACTGAATGAGATGGCAAATGATCAATTCCCTCATTAAAATCCTCCACACTTTAGTTTCAAGAATTAAAATAGATAGAAACAAAGCTGGAGATCAGATGACAGAATTTTCCAAGAGTAATAAAGTTTTCATTGCAAATACCCTTTTCAACAACATAAATGGACAGAAGAGACAGGAATCAAATGGACGACATCTGCTAGAAGAGATGATGGAGCATCTCAATATTAGGTGAAGTGAAGCCAGGAGCTCTTGGTAGACAGACTATCAATTGCTCATTTGGATTGAAGTTGAAGAAAATTAAAATAAATCCACAAGAGTGGGGGGAGGTGGGGGGATAAAGGCAGAACCAATCACAATGATCTACATATAACACCCCCCAGGGGGACAACCAACAGAAAGGTGGATGAAGGGAGACATTGGATGGTGTAAGATATAAAAATAATAGTTTATAATTTATCAAGGGTTCATGAGAGTGGGAGGGTGGTGGAGGGAGGGAAAAAAAGAGGAGCTGATACCAAGGGCTCAAGTAGAAAGAAAATGCTTTGAAAAGGATGATGGCAACATCTGTACAAATGTGCTTGATACAATGGATATATGGATTGTTATAAGAGCTGTAAGAGCCCCCAATAAAATGATTTATTAAAATTTTTAAAAAGAGTGAAAATACAACCCTGAGGCAACTTTCCCCCCTAGTATCAACATGGCTCTGCACACCCTATTTAACGCTTTGTCAATTTTTCAACTAGATTTTTCCTTCCCCACTCTATTTAAAATGTAAATTTTCCCATGCCCCAATGCTCTGACCATCTTCCCTAAATTTCCTCCATTTGTTTATCTCTATCTAATATATTAATGTTTATTTGTATTTATTTCACTTTTATCTATTTTCCCCAACAAGAATGTCTGGAGTCTATGAGGGTAAGAATTTGTCATTTTAACAACGGCCTCACATATATTCTTCCTTCAACTTGTTAGATAAATGAATAAACTTACAGACACAGCTTAACACCATTCTCTTAAAACAGATGTCTAATGTTGTTATTGTTAGGTGCCATCGAATGAGTCAGTCCAACTCATAATGATCCGATGTACAACAGAATACACAGTCCTGAGCCACCCTCACAGTCGTCCTTACGTTTGAGCCTATCTTTGCAGCCACGGTGTCAATCCATTTCATTGGGGGTCTTCCTCTTTTCCCACTGCCCCTCGACTTTACCAAGAGTGAGGCCCTCCCCCAGGGGCTGATATCTCCTGGTAGGTAACATGTCCAAAGCATGTGTGATGATGTTTTGCCCTTCTTGCTTTTAAGGAGCATCTGCCTGTACTTCTTTCAAGACAGATCTGTCTGTTCTACTTTCAATATTGTTCGCCAGCAACGTAGTTCAAACACATCAATCCTTCTTCGGTCTTCCTTAGTCAATGTCCAGCTTTCACGTGCAATGTCACACCTTAGTCTTCAAAGTAGCATTCATGCTTTTCAGTACTATAAAGAGGTCTTTTGCAGCAAATTTATCCAATGCAATCCTTAATATTACATTGTTTAAGTGTACCAGAAATTATTTATTGAGTCTGTTACTCATGAACACTTACAACATTTGCCGATTTTGATTACTAAGGAATTAAATATTTCTGGAAAATATCTGTTACATGCATGCAACTGAATCCAAGATAATTGTCTCAGAATGCGATAATTTAGGCAATTGAGTTTTAAAATTGTAGCGATGCTGCCAAGTAACACTCCTAGCAGGTTACATCAGTTAAATTTATAGTCTCGTAGGAATACAGTCTTGAACAAATCTGAACCTAAGTGTTACAGACAGAAACACCGTTCCCAGAAACAACATGTTCTTCGGGCGACAGTCTCGTAATGGGAGTCAGAGGAGATCTCAAAAAGAAAACAGAAAAGAAAGAAGAGAAAAAGAACATTCTTTTTGCCACTGAGCACTAAGGACATTCTTTTCCTCAGAGACAAAATAACTGGCCAGCTTTCTGGAACTTGACCAAAATTCATTGTTAACTGCTTCCATTGTATATCCCAATAACTATATATAATCCTGCTATGGCCTTTTGGGGGGCATTTTCCTGCAACTTTGCCTTGGGGAAATTAAAAAGAAAAAGTCCATAGCGTGCAGATATCCTCAAGAAGTACTTATATAAAGGAGCGAGGCTGGAAATCCTCTCACTCTGGTGCTCACACAGATTCCATTGGCTATTGACATTAAAATAAGAACGTAACCTATATAGAGAAAGAAGGCTGTATTCACATTAACATTCATGAAGGCTGAGCAGCTGAATGAAGCCCTACACATCAAGTGGGGAAGATATCCTTTGTCTCCTGATGAGAAAATGCCTCCATGATAAATGGTTACAGACAGGGGTGTCACAAGGGCAACAGAACACACAACAGCTTCCACAAACTTTTTTCTTTTTTTAAGTCTTTCTCCTCGCAGCTTGCTCTCTGACATTGTGGAGCTCAGTGCCTATCCCCTCAAATAAAAGGAAATTACTGCAGTACAGAATTCCTAATCTTTGCTAAGGCACTTCTCAGAGAACTGAAAACGTACCCGTTGAAAACAATTTAAAGCAAAGCTTCAAAAGCTTCATGAGGCATAAATATTCAGAAGTGCTGAAAAGACCCGCTCCCCCCCAGGCCCCACCCCCCCTCGCCGGCTGTGGCGGACTAATGTGCATATTGTCCTAAGATTCAAGCACAGTGGTTCAGGTGCAGTGTCTGAAACCAGAACGCTGGGAGACATCCAGCACAAAAATTCTGTACGCTTGTTTACATACACATCTCAGTCCATGATTACAGCCTTACCAAACTCAGTAAATCTGATGAGAAAAAAATAATAGATGAAGTCTACGTTCTTTTATTCCCAAAGAATATGTTATGGATCCCACTAGTGACTATCAGCAATTTCCAGTTAATTTTTCAAACTAAAAATGAATGGCAGCCTGGATTACACTTTGTGGGAGAGAGGTGAAGCCTATCTACTCCCAGGAAGATTTCCAGTCTTGGAAACCCGCAGGGGAGGCTCTTCTCTCTCCTGTAGGGCCTATGTGCGTCAGAATTGACTACTGGGCCGTGAGTTTGCATTTGGGGGTTGTAGGAAGCCGGGCTCCAGAACAGTTCTGGGGCCTAACTCTAGGTGGCTCACCTTGCTCACCTATAAACAAAAGGCTGACCAGAAACAGCCGCGTGGCCGCCAAGCTCGCCCAGGGTTTCTCTCTAGTATTTCGCCTATTCAATAGCAATTTGGAGTTTTCAGCATGAAAAGAGTAATCTAATAAACAGTACTTAAAAATCAAAAAAGAGATGAGCTTTTGGGACACACACACCAAGTGAGACCTGGCGGCGTACTGAATTAGCTGCTACCGCAAAGGTCAGCATTTCAAACCCACCAGCCACTCAGCAGGGGAACATTGAGGCAGTCAGCTTCCGTGAAGATATACCACCTGGGATGGGATTGGAATCGACTCCAAGTTTTGTTTCCCTATCCTACTCTCCGACTCTCAGGGACCCGATAAAACTCAGTAGAACGGACTCTGGGTTTCCGAGACCGTACATCTTAGGTGAGCAGAAAGCCTCTTCTTCGGAAGAGCTCCAGCCAAGTGTGTTCGAACTGCTGATCTTTGCGGTAAGCAGCCTAATCCACAATCCACTCCGCTGCCATTTCTCCGGAGGGGGTCACTACGAAGCAGAAACGAGTGGCAGTGAGGTTTCTCTTTGTCATTTAATTTGTTGGTAACGAAACCTCCAAATGTAGAAGAAATCAAGTTTCCATCAATCCTCAACACGGTCGCCCGTCCCCCCCCACAAAACACATACACACACACACACAAACACACACACGGCGTTTTCAAGACCGTCTCTGCCGGTGCTTGGTGGCCTCGGGATAAAGGCGTGCCCGGTCGGTCGCCTAGGGTCTCAAGGCTAGCTGAGAACCTGGATATCTGTAGCGGTTCTGCAAGCCCCGGAGGGGGCGGGTCCACAGCGTGGGTGAGGGGCGTGGTTTTCCAGGGACCCACCTCCAAGGCCCGAGTCTTTCACGCGCATGCGTCCCGCGGTAGGCCCAGGATTGGAGTCCGGGTGCTGCGCTCGCCCTCGCGCCGCCGCCTTCCGCTTCCTTCCCGACCGCTTCCCACTTTGCACTTGACGCGACGACGCACGACAGGTTTGCGGACGTGGCGGCGGCGCACGACCCGGAAGGCGGAGACGTTGGCGGCGGTGGCGGCCAGCCAGAATCGGGGACTCGGCCATGGACTTGTTCGGGACGGCGGCAGCTGCGGATCTGGCCGCCGTTTCCTCGCTGGGCATCCTCTGGTGACGGCCCGAGTGGGGCCCTCCGGCCCGGTGGGCGGAAGAGGCGCGGAGCCCTGGTCCGCAGGTGCGGCGGCAGAGGAGGGAGCAACAGGGGAGGGACAAGCCGGGATGGGACCTGGCCCCTCGTGAAAAGAATCCCTGGGGGCCGCGGAGAATGGACCAGCACCGCGAAACCCCACGTTACACTGTCGGGGAAACAGAGGCCCCGAGCTAAGACTTCCACCGACCCAGCTTACGGGCAGGGCATTTCCCACCCGAACATACGGCTTCCGCCACCACTTGTTTCTGCTGAGTGCATCTGGGCCACTGCGTCCAAGTGCTGGTGTGGCATAGAAATCGGAGGTCTCCTCCTCGCCGGGGTTAGCAAGGGACCAGAAAAAGCTAGGCATGTGGAGTGGAGGCGGAGGGAAAATAAGCTTTTAAAAAGATGCCTGTGGTTCTGTCTCAGTGCTGCACAATGCCTGGTGGCCTTTGCTTAACTTAACGAAGGTCTCAGAGGCACTGTACTGTACAAGTGTCTGGGGAGCAGCTCTCCTGTACTATGCGGTTGAACGCTTAAACACCATAGCCATTGGTAATCCCTTTTATTGTATGTGTATGTCATCTGTGTCTCGTGCTCTTTTGCAAATAGGAAATTCTGGTTTTTGAGGAGAATTGAGTCAGTACCTTGAATGCTACGTACTTGCTAATCTTAGAGTAAGTATCTGTCGGGGCCAGATACTTAGGTTGTTGAGAGTTACAGCTGATTCGATCGATGACAGTGAAACCCACTGTCGTCAAATCATTTCTGACTTATAGTAACGTAAGTTGAAAGACAATAAAGTCTTGATTACTCATAAAGAATATCCAGTTTGTGGTGTCCTGCTACCTTGGATTTCATTCCACAGTTGAGCAGAGAAGACAATGAGAAAAAGATGAAGTTCTAGTTTTTAAATATTACTTAGTAATATGCCATGGAGAAATGGTATAAATACTTAAATTGGCTTTGGGCACTCCGCAGTGAATTTTGGTGACATTGTGGGATGAGCCTTGGGCTCCTAATTGCAAGGTCTGCAGTTCAAACCCACGAGCCAATGAGAGAAAGAAGAGGCTTTCAGCTCTGTTAAGATTTACAGCCTCAGGAACCCACAGGGGCATTTCTACTCTGCCCTATAGGGTCTCTAACTATCGGTTGAAATCCACTTGATGGGCGTGAGTTTGGGTTTGGGTTTGAATGGTTCCCAAGCCATTTTTGGTCATGGTTTCTTTTTAAGAATGTGAAATAAATACCCACCACCCCCATTACGTGCTCCCTCCCCCTCAAAAAAAAAAAGGTTGTTAGATGCTGTTGAATTGATTCTGACTCCTAGTGACCTTATATACAACAGAGCCAGCACTGCCAGGTCCTGTGCTAGCCTCACAAGTGCATGTCTGAGCCCACTGTTGTAGCCTCTGTGCCACTTCATCTCATTGAGGTCTTCTGCCTCTTTTTCATTGACCTTTTATTTTACCATTCTTGATGCCCATCCCTAGGGGCAGGTCCTGATAACATGTGCAAAGTGCATAAGATGAAGGAAGGCTCGCTGCTAAGGAACATTCTGTCTGTACTTTCACCAAGATTGACTTGCTTGTTCTCTGGCAACCCATGGTTCTGACTCATAGCAACCCTATGTACAACAGAATGAAACACTGCCTAGTGCGGAGCCATCCTTACAGTTGCTGTATTTGAGCCCCTTGTTGCAATATTCTTCACCTACACTATAATTCACATGTTGAAGTTCATCTTTAGTCTTCCATGGTCATTGTACAGTGTCCACATGCCCATGAGATGATTGCAAATACTGTGGCTTAGTGCAGGCATACTGTAGTCCTCAGAGTGTGGCGTATTTGCTTTTTAATGCTAGCGCTCTTTTGCAGCAGGTTTGCCCAATGCAGTATAGTCTGCCTTTTGAGCCCTGCTGCCATGGGGATGGTGAATTCAAGTAAAATGAAAACCTTGACGACTTCAATCTTTTCCATGTTTATCATGATGTGCCTTATTGGTCCAGTTGTAGGATTTCTGTTTTCTTTATGCTGAGTTGTGGTCCACGCTGAAGGTTATAGTCCCTGATCTTCAGTAGTCATTTCTTCAAGCAAGGTTGAAGCAGTATTCACTTTCAGCAAGCAAGGTTGTGTCATCAAAACCAGACTGAGACCTTTGAGACCTGATTCTGCCTTTGTTATCATGTTCTCCTGGTAGCTTTGTTATCATGACACGGCCCTCCCTTTCACTGCTTCCTCTTTGGGACACTCCCTTCCATCTTCTCTGCAAGCTGATTTTTCTTCAAGAAACGAAATATTAGAATTCTTCAGAGGTCAATCTGAGCCCTCTTAGTCTGTGCTATCGCCTTAGATAATCTCATCCATTCCCATAGTTTGAGTTTCCTCCTATGTAGAAATGAGTCATGGAATTATACTCCAACCTAGATCTTACCTCTGGATTTGACTGTATCTCCCACTTGTCTATGTGACCTTCCTGTATGCCATCTTAGAGCTTATAACCCTAGCTTCTTACCCACCCACCCCTTCTTGCCCTGTTTCTATTTTAGAGAATGGCATCATTTGTTCAGTTATGCAAATCAGAATGTATTCTCTCTCATTCCCTTATTTGTCACAGGCATTTATCAGTCACCATCCTAACCCCCAGGGGCTCACACATAACAACAATGGCGAGGATGGCGCAGGACCAGGCAGTGTTGCTTTGTCTTGTACTTAGGGTTCGAGCAAGAGGCATCTAGCAACAGCAATGAGTATTTACTTTTGAATTACCACCGAATACCTGTCTATCTCCATTTTACAACAACAAAAAGGCAGGATCAACTCGGTGGCAATGGGCTTTATCTTTCATTATGTGAAGGATTCTAAAGAAGTTAAAACTGAATGGAGTTTTTTAAGTTCTTGTTTTTGCTCATCTTTAATAGATTAGCTTTGATGAAGGTGACTTGTGAGTTAATATTCATGTAAACAAAAAATATTTGTTGATGCATGTTTTTAATATAAGTGGACTCTCCCCGAGTCTTCAGTGGCGTTAACAAAATGACCTAAAATCTGTTCCCAGTCTTTATGAACCATAAATTACCTTGGCAAGGTTGCCACAGTTGGGTGAAAAGGTCCCAAAGAAGAAACATTCCTGGAGAGCAAAAATGATTGCCTGTCTGGGAAGAAGGGACGCACCAAAACAAATGTGTTTGTGTTGAGTGGATTCTGCCTTGGGGCAACCTGGCTGTCGTAGAGCAGACCGCCCAGAGCATTGTCCTCTGTAGTTGGTACAGAAGCTTATTGCTGGATGGGTTCAGACCACCAGCCTATACTGTAGGTTCTTAGTTACTGTATATACTCGTGGATGAGCCAAGTTTTCCAACACATTTTTAATGCAGTGTTTGTGATAAAATTAGGTGCCTCTGCTGCTATTCGGGTTGGCTTATACTCGAGTATATACAGTAAGTGCAAACTGCTTGTCTCACCAAGGGCCTTTAGAAACACGTTAAAACTCACTGCCATCGATCCTGTCCAACTCGTAGCCACCTTGTAGGACAGAATAGAACTGTCCCTGGGAGCTTCCAAGACGGTAAATCTTTACAGATGTAGAAAGCCCCGTCTTTGTCTGAGGAGCTGCTGACCCACTAATCCACCAGGGATCCTGAAGAAGCAGATGGTAGTGTAAACACTGAAGTAGGCAGGTCGTGGAAAAGGTGTTTAGTCTCACATACACCTAAATGCCATTTTACAGATGTAAAAGTATTCTGTGTATTTGTAATACATATTCTTTGATCCAGTCAGAATTATACATTCTTTATATGGTCACAAGTTTTTTAAAATATAGTACATAATGTTTATCTGCCTTTTTTGTGGTAAAATACGTACAACATAAAATTTGCCATCTTTACCATTTTAAGTGTACAATTCAGTGTGATTATGTTAATATTGAAGTATAGCCATCACTTTTATTTCCAAATTTATTCATTATTTCCAAAACAAATTCTGTTTTCAGTAAGCAATAACTCCTTGCTTCTCCCTCCCCCAACTTCTGGTAACCTCCTTTTGGTCTCTGAATTTGCCTATTCTAGAGATTTCATATAAATGGAATCATACAAAGGGGTACACCCCCCCCCAAAATGGATCCCACTCAAAATTACGTATTTAAATTTCTTTTTTACCAAATAACCTCATCACCTTCAAAGTACTCTCCATTATACTTAATACACTTGTCAAATCTGTGAGTCCATTCTTGGAAACATTTTTCAAACTCATCTGTGTGGATGGCTGACAGCACCTCCCTCATTTTGTTCTTCGCCTCTTCTACATTATCCCATCACTCTCCTTTCATGTCCCTCTGCATTCGTGGAAACAAAAAGAAGTCACATAGAGGAAGGTCAGGTGAGTAAGTGCGTGGGGCAAGAGAGGCATGCTGTTGTTTACCAAAAACTGGCACACTGAGATGGCTGTGTAAGCAGGTGCATTGTCGTGGTGGCAAAACCAGTTTACCATCTGCCACAAATCAGGCCTTTTTTTGTTGCACACTGATACACAGTCTTTTCAGAACCTCTCAATAGAAAGCTTGATTAACAGTCTGCCTTGGTGGAATGAACTCCAAATGCACTGCGAGTCTGCATTTTCATCTTTTTGGGAAGTTGATGGATGTCCAGAACAAGGTCTGTCATCAATTGACAGTTCACCTTTTTGAGAAGAAAACCACTCACACAGAGTTTCCCATAGTGCTGTCCTTGGAAGCTGTTTTCAACATCACAGTTGTTTCTGTGGCATTTTTCCTGAGCAGGAAACAAAATTTCACGGCTGCATGCTGTTCTCTTAAATTGGCCATCACAAAAAATGAGGTTCCAGCGAAACTGCTTTTACAAAAAAATTCACTGTGACGAGAGAACCTTACCAGGAGACGCCCGCTACTGGGTGCACTAACTCAGAGCGAGCTGCTGGATGCTTGCCTAGCGGGAAAAATGCGTACTATGAAGGCTCTGTCCATCCGAGCTCTTTTCCATTTTGTGGGGGTACTCCCTTGTATAATTGACCTTTTGTTATCTGGCTTCATAATTTAGATCATTTCCCATATTCATCCGTGTTAAAGGCATGTATCAGATCATCTTTTCTTTTTGATGTAGTTGAATTCCTAATTTATTTCGTGTACTCAAAATAAGGTGATATGATTTTTTTTACCTAAAGAAAATATAAAGCAATTTGTCCTCATAAGATGTAATTACCCCCACATGCTTTGTAATAGGTCGTCTATTTGAATTGATTAATTCTTCCTCTCATCCCATTGTGTCCATTGCTAGAAATTTTCATTGAACTCCAGTTATAACAGTTGAATTTCAATGTTTTATTGTGGTAAACATGTAGACTATAAAACGCTATTTTTTTTCATAAGTCTTCATGCATGTACTTCAGTGACATTAAATATGTTTATCATACTCTTCAACCACCACCATTCCCAAGTTGAACAATGTAAAGTAAGATGCAGCTGCCTGGCCAACTGGCCACCACACTCAGATCATTTTAATCTCTCAACCATTTGGATGCAGCGGAATCACTTGAAGATCCCTCCATAGAATGAGACAAGTCTGTCTGGCTTCCCAGCGGCCCGACAGGGCCTGGGAAGGTGCTTCTACAGGCAAAGTCCTGCTGCTGCCTGGCTTCACATGAAGCTAGCATTACAGGACCTGGGCACACCCAGGCAAAGCCTCTCTGCCTCCTGTGGGCCAAGCCCGCTTGGTTGGGCCATGGCTGCCCAAGCACAGCCCTCCGCCCAACCTTCCGCCAGTCTCTGACCCTATGTACTGGTCACAGATGGGCGGCAAGGCACTCTTGACAGTTCTCAGGCCCGTCGGCAAACTGCTCCAGAGCAAACCTTCACTTTCACTGGCTTATTTTCTGATTGCCAGGTTATTACTAATGTGATCCATGATTTTTTGACTATGGCTTATACCTTTATTATCAGAAGTAAGAATTTTCAGACTATAAAATGATGATGAAAGAGGCTGAAATTCACTCTGAAAATTTCATGAGACATGCATGGTATATGACTGGGTGCACCATGCCAGAAGTTTTGAGACATAATTTCATCTTTTCCAATGGTTTTGTGTGGGTACTTATTATATACATGGGCATACTACTTGCAGAAAATATATTCCATTGGATAATCTTTGAATCAAAATGATTCCCTGAATTTTTAAGACCAAATAGTAATTTAGCTTACATTATACAGAATGTCCACCTGAAGCATTGCACTCTAAAGATCTATCTATGTGGGTCCAAGTCGTCAACAGCAACTCAAGTTAAATAGGAGTTAGATAGGAACTTTAGGGGGCAGTGAGTTTATGTTAATGAGGAGGAACAACTTGGAAAAGGAAGGTGAACATGATTACACGACTTGAAGAACTGAACAGTTACTGCCTTGTACATGTCAACAGTGTTAAATTTGGGTGTCTCTCAACAACCAAGTAAAAGCCGTAAATGTATATATAAGTGCATTCCCAAAGTCACGTGTTTCAGTATATTCCAAAGTTTCTTCTGCTGTTGATTGTTGCAGAGTTTGACATTATGGCAGGAAGACACCAGAATCGCAGCTTTCCTCTTCCAGGGGCTCAGGCAAGTGGCCAGTTACTTGCTTATGGAAATTGTTCAGAGACTGACATGTTGGAGGAGGATGCTGAAGTGTATGAGCTTCGATCCAGAGGAAAAGAAAAAGTCCGAAGAAGTACATCGAGAGATAGACTTGATGACATTATAGTACTAACAAAAGATATACAGGAAGGAGATACTTTAAATGCGATAGCCCTTCAATATTGTTGTACGGTAAGTTTAAATTATTTTTGCATAATGTAGTCCAAAACTAAATCTTGCTCATTAGACTAAATTGAAATAGATTCTGTGTCCTTTGATCTGTCCTGCCCTTCCATTTTCCTTCTTTTCATAGAAATCTGAATTATGTGGTCAGGTATTCATTGTTGAATTTTTTTAATATTTGAATTTCTAAACCCACAGGTCTATTTTCAAAATTGGAAAAAACATAAATATATATTGTTACATTTTTTCTTGAATTAAGTTGTAAGAACATGCAAAAATATGTAAGGAGAAGATTCTCCCTGTCCCAATTTCCTGAGTCAACTACTGTTAACTATTTGGTATGCTTCTTTCCACGGAGCCCTGGGGATATAGAACTGCTAACCATAAGGTAAGGTTAGCAGTTCAAAACCACCAACAATTCGAAACCACCAGTGGGAGAAAGATGAGACTTTATACTCCCCATAAAAAGTTACTCTTGGACACTGAGAGGGAGGCAGGTCTACTCTGTCCTGTAGGGTCACTGTGAGTCAGAATCAACTCAGTGAGTTTGGTTTGGGTTTACATATACACAATGTTGAGAGTCCGGCTGGCAATTTTAGTTTTTAAAATTGGTTTATACTATTGATAATACTCTGCAATTTGCCTTTTATATTTCTTATATTGTTGACATCCCTCATAGCTACATAGCTCTAATTGATTATGTTGAGTAGGTATATAATGTTCTATAGTATAAAAGTACCCTAATTCATAAACTCTTCCTCAACTTACAGGTTGTCAGCATTTTTAGGTTGTTGGTTCTCAATTGTTAGGTTGGTGGTTCAAACCCACTAGCTACTCTTTAGGGAGAAAGATGAGGCTGTCCCCATAAATATTTGTAATCTTGGAAACCGTATATAGAGACACTCTGAATTGGGACTGACTTGTTGGAGTGCATTCATATACTTAAATGGTATACCTTTATTAATTGGTAATATCTTTATTTAAACAGTGACTGAAAGTGGGCTCAAACATAGTAACAGTTGTGAGGATGGTATAGGACCAGGCAGTGTTTCCTTCTGATGTGCACAGGGTCAGTATGAGTTGGAACCAACTTGACGGCTCCAAACAACCACCACCTTGATTTCTATGGGATAGATCTGTAAATAATAAGGTTACTAAATCCAATGACAGGTGTACTTAGAATGTCATAAACATTTTTTTACCTGTCATTTTGGGAAGTTTGATTCATGTAGTAAGAGAACACAATTGTAAGCTTTTACAAGAGTGAAGCAAAATTGTTAAGATCTGCTGTTGAATTGGAGGAAGTCTAATAAAGAGATTATTGAGATAATTTTACTTGTAGATGATAAAGACTTTGGCTAAAATACTTGTGAGACCCAAACCAAACTTATTGTTATTGAATCCATCCTAAGGTTTAGCAACACCGTAAGACAGAATAAAACTGTCCCTTGCAAGGTTTCCAAAGCTGTGAATTATTACACAAGACTTACATGTCTTCCTCTTGTAAGTCCAAACCACGGACTTTCTGGTTAGCAGCTGAACACTGTAACCATTGACCACTAGGATTCCTGATGGGAAATGTACATCAGGGAAATCACAGGTTGGACCTGCTGGTTCCTTTTTTGATATGTGTGGGGGGAGGGCCAGCCCCCACAACTATTCACGGGGTTCAGTCAGCGCAATTTTACAGTTGAGATACATAAAGATTACAATGAAGTCATAGAGCATGATATAGGAAAGAGAGTGAAATAATGGAGTCAGACACATTTCATGGTAACATGCTCACCTTCTGAATGGCCATGATCTTACCAGCCAGGTCGGCGCACGTGTGGGCCGAGGTGAGGTGGGGCTGAGACCTGGCAGGAGGCTGGAGACCCCATTTTTTGCTAACCAAGGGTTATATCTACTTGGGGGGGCATGATTACAGGTAACCACATGTCACAGGAAGGGGCAGTACCATAGGCATGCATACAAGCAATAGGAGGGGGAATATAATGGGCATAGGTCTAACAGTAAGAGGATGAGCTAGGGGTGTACAGGATAGGAAGGGGAGGGACTAGAGGTATACATGTGACAAGATGGGCGGATCCTAGATGCATGATGGCGGCCTAACTTTGGTCACCCTTGGGTGGGCTTGACCTCTCAGGGGTCTCCTATAAGGAAACTCAACTACTATCCTTATCAGAAGGGAGTGGGCCCTACTTGTTGTGGGATAAACAGTGGTGACTGCTTGCTCTGGATGGCTGATAACCCTGAGGGAGAATAACCCCTGACCTAATTGTGTATAGTCATTTGTCACATGTAGCAAGCAGCTAAGTTTGGCATATATTTGGGGGAGACAACTTGGGAGAAATCTTTCTGTTCCCCACAGATATGAAAAATGATGAAAGGAGAGTAGCCTAACATAGGAAGCATGGCATTGGGCACAGTAGGGGGGAAAATGATAGAAAAGTTAAGGAGTAAAAATCAGTGGTTCATTTTGCCAGGTACTCAACAAGCAAAAACGATTCATCTTACAAAAAGATTTATCATCATTTTAAAATACAAACACTAGTGCTGTATTCCACTTATTTGTTTTTTAAGGGCTATCCGAAATAAACCTATTGTAACACAGTAATGGAATAAAAACTGAGGAGTAAAGTGCCCAAGGCTGGAATCCTAAAAGCAGGTAACATAGTTAGCCTAACAGAGGAAACTAGGTAGACAATAAATCATGGAAGTCTAGTTCAGAAAGAGTATTGACAAGTTATTTGTCAGAATATACAATTCCAGTGTTTTATCTCTGCTGCCTCTACTCCTAGTTATATTTCAACTCCCACTCCTACCTGACTCCAAGGAAACTGATGTTTTCTAACATGATCCTTTTTTTTTAAATTTCATCATGCATCAGCATGACTCCATTCACCAATCCCTCCTAAAATAAAATACTCTGCTTGACCACCTTGATTCTGCATGTTTACTTTCTGACTATTCATAACAGCCAACATTTATATACACACTCTGAATATCACTATTGTTAGTGCTTTCCTTTAATCTGATCCACTAGTGCCCACCCATATCAGCCTTGTATAGTAGGTAGTATCATCGCTGCCACTGTATAGATAAGGAAACTGAATTGCAGAAGTTGAATAGTGTGCTTCAAGTCACACAGCTGCAGTGTAGCGCCATGCTTCAAAGGCTGGCTACTCCATGCTCTTACCATCACGATGGAGCGCCTTCCGAGCCCTTGCTTCTTGCTTTCTGTAGTGTACTTCTGTTGCCTAACCCAAACAGAAATTCATTGCCATCGCAGTTGATTCTGACCCGCAGCAGCCCGTGAGAGCAAGTGCAAAACTGCTCTACGGGTGTTGAGACTGCAGATCTTTACAGGGCAGCGGCCTAATGTTTCTGCCACAGAGCACGGTGGAACCGGACACTGGAGTTAGCCGCACAAAGCTTAACCCACAGTGCCACCAGGGCTCTTTTCTCTTAACATAACCTAACATGAACCTTATCGATGTATTCCTCTGGAAATCTTTTTTCTAAATAAATCTATCAATTCTTGTGACTTCAGTTACTTTTATTGATAATCCACAAATTTTTCCCTCTAGTTCAAAACCTTCTGGAGTTTTAGACAGTTGTCTAGGGATAGGTCCACTTGTGTTTCCCATAAGCACCTCAAACACGACCTGCTAAAAGCTGTTTACTCACCACAGTATCCCACAGCTCTGTAAATGGCACCATCTTTTAAGTGATAACCAAAGCACCATCCTAGACTAAATGTTACCTCTAATAGCAATCAGGTGACAGATGATCAGGGCTTAGTTCAAAACATTGGTGGAGATGATTAATTAGATTAATAATTTAGAGATGATGGGACGGTATTTGGCATTCCAATTAGTAATTTGAGAAATACTCCCTTAGACCCTCTTCACAATGCCAGGTGGTTGGCTTATATTGATAGGCAGATAGGTTGAAGACAAGGTCATATATCACCCCAAGAGATAATGTATGTGGCCCCCTATCCCCCCCACCCCACCCCCCAAAAAACCAAACCCACTGCCATGGAGTTGATACGAGGGTTTTTGAGACACTCTTTTTTGTAATCAGGCAAGTTTCGTCTTTTGCTCCCGGAGGTGGCTGTTGGGTTGGAAGTGCTGACCTTGTGATTAGCAGCCAACACCACACCCACACAGCAACCAAGACTCAAATGGCTAATCTGGGGGAGAACTGACTTAGACATTTAAACTGGGACATGTGGGACAAATGGCTTCAGAGACCACCTGAGATTAACTATTTTTCAATCAAATGTTTTTAAAATTCTAGCAGGTGTTTCCCACATACAGTCCAACCTCTAAAATGAAATGGATGGCATGTTCAATATTTAGCAAAGCTTCTCCCCCCGCCCCATGGGGATATGTACAATGAGGGCACATCTTAGGACTTGATAGTATCTTAGTTTTGATAAAATTTGGTTGTTGACATTTACTGATCCTCTACTTGCTAAATAGAAAGGATGTAAATTTCTGTCTTCCTTTCTCCAGAATGGTTTATAAGCAGAAGTGTGGCCTTTGTGCGTGCTGTGTAATTGACGGGGAAATAGCAAAGTCTCCTAGACTCTAGCTGGATAGGTGGCATTAGTATTGATAATCTGAGTTGGTATTAAAAAGTAAATGGCGTGATAAGCGTTCTTGACATGGAGTTCAGGACAGATAAAACCCTCGGGAATAGTGGGAGTAGCGATAACATGAGATTGGGGGATAGTGGTGGCTGGATGGGGCATGAGTAACAGAAAGGTGGGTGATGGGAGGCAACGGACCGTGTAAGACACGAAATAATAATAATATTTAATTTATCAAGGATTCACAATGGTGGGAGAGTGGGGGAGGGAAGGGGAAAAAAGAGCTGATACCAAGGGTTCAAATAGGAAGAATTGTTTTGGAAATGTTAGTGGCAACATATGTACAAGTGTGCTTAATACTATTGAATGGTGGATTATTAGAAGATTTGAGCCCCCAATAAACTGATTAATTAAAAAAAATTGGCAATTCCCCAAGACTGACATGAAAAATGATGCCAAACTGCCAGTAAATAAAACCTCTCTGGGTCTGGTGACTTTAGCACCAACTGTACTTTTTTTTTCCCTCCAAAAGTAACTGAGATGAGTGATTATTGCTACCCTGTCATTTGATTTAGAATTCAGATGAATATTACTGTTTTTTTACAGGTAGCAGATATCAAGAGGGTTAATAATCTCATCAGCGATCAAGACTTTTTTGCCCTTAGGTCTGTCAAAATTCCAGTAAAGAAATTTAGCTTATTGACTGAAACACTTCATCCTCCAAAAGGAAGACTGGCTTCTCGTCCTTCGTCCGTGCCACGTGATGCAGGACAACAGGAAACTGTGCCGGCTAGTGAGTCTCTTTCCTCCAGCGAGTCAGCTGGTAGCTTTTTACAAGAAGTGGACCGAGACATAGAACAAATAGTAAAATGTACAGACACCAAGAGAGAGAACCTTAACGAAGTGGTATCAGCCTTAACAGCACAGCAAATACGTTTTGAACCTGAGAACAGAAACACTCAACGGAAGGACCCCTATTATGGAGCTGACTGGGGTATAGGATGGTGGACAGCCGTAGTGATAATGTTGATAGTAGGTATAATAACCCCAGTATTTTATTTGCTGTATTATGAAATTTTAGCTAAAGTGGATGTTAGTCACCATTCAACAGTGGACTCTTCACATTTGCATTCAGGAATCACACCTACAACACAACAGGGAGAAATGGCCGATGGAATTGCTCCAACGAAAGGAACAATGCACTTTGGCCAGCAAGACGGCCACAGAGTCTACAGTCACCATGCTCAGGCACCTGCTACTCAACACGAAACATAGCCATTAGTTCATAATCGCCTTTACTGATCACGTGTGCTTATGTAATGTGGCAAACCATTTATATCCTTAATAACCACTGAAATGGCGGTATTTAGGAGATTGAAGATGCCTTATTTTTGTTTTTCACCCTTTTTTGAGCCATTACAAGGGAAGTATGTGTAAAATCATAAACTTACTAGTTCATGTTACAAGCAAATAGTGTGTTTTTGATACAGCGCTGCTTAAAGTGGGGAGTGAATTTAAATACATGTTAGGCAATTCTGAAGTTGCAAAATTATCATTTTTTAATACAAGGTTTGTTATGCCTATATTTTACTTAATAAGTAATTGTTTTTGTAAAGTGGTTTTTAAGTTTATTAAGCAGTATGAATGATAACACCAGATGTGTGCAACTGGAGAAAATTTATTACTATGAACCATCAAAATATTTAGTTTTTAAAAAGTTGATTGATTCTAAAATTACATAGGATACCAGATATTTAATACTCCAATTTTGAAACTTAAAAAACACACATTTAGCATCTATGATATAAAAACATGTGGAAACATAAGAAATCAGTGTGTGATTTATTATAATTCTGCTTCTTACCTATTTCATATAGTAAGAAATAGATTGAATACCAAATCCCCCAAGTAATCGGTCCTGGGTGGGAAGCTTCTATTTGGTCTCTAGAACACTGGAATATGTTCAGACCTACGAGGGATGCTCTGCCCTTTCAAGAATGCTTTCTCTGGACAGACTCTTTAAACTCTGCTCTGGCTTGTTTTAAAAATGATTATATTTGCCTTCAATATCTGAAAGTACTTTTGCAATTCTTTGCTAGAAAATGTTAGAAATGAACAAATTAGCATTACTTAGGAAATAATTCCTTACAGACTGTGATAAATCATTCCTGTTACATGTAGGAATGTGCCTTGATTACATTTAATGCCTTAAATTTTTATTTTCTGGAAATCAATATAATTTCTAGAATTAAAATTGAGCACTACTTCAAACAGTCCTTTCAGATTGAATACGTATGAAACTATCTCCGCCTTCAATTGAGCTTTACAATGAAGTCAAAAGATCTTTATTACCTGCCTTTGAGGTCTGGCTCATTGAGCAAAAACATGCCTTTTACATTAGCAATAGCAGACAGAGTACTGATTCCTTAACCCCTCTGCTTTTCCAAGAGAAACATGAATTAGACTTTGATCCTGAACTCTGGCATCAAATTAGGGGATGGAGACCAAGTGTGTGGACTAGCAGAGCCATTGATAGTGCTTTCAGACCTGCTGTGGAACTGCCTTTCTGACTGAATAAGCGTCATTTCCATGTTGGTTCTGTCATTTAACTTTTTAAAGTATGTGCTTTTAAAATGTAACTACAGTGACACATTGGAAGTGAGTTAAGTGGAGTCTGGAATTGGTTTCATTTAAAAATAAAACATGTACTTTAGATATATAATTCCACCTCCTTTTCTGGGCATTATTTCCTACTCTAATGTTTCTACATTGAGATCAGCCATTTTCTATCTCAAACTTCAGTCTTGATACAGACTGGGGTCGACATACAAGTCAAAAAGTTCATGGAAAAAACTCCATCATCTTTTAATTCCATTTTTCCATGAAGTTCATTAAGCCCCCTCATATTTGTATAAATTGAGCTTTACATGCATTAAAAGACAAAACAAAGCAAACATTAAAGCCCTTGCGAATTTAAGAGGACCTTAGACAAGTACCAGAAAGTGTGAATAGGGAAATTGTAGCAAATTTTTTTGCGTAAATATTTTAGTTTAAAATTATTTGTTTGAATGTGCCTTGGGCATCTTAAGAAGTATGATCATTTTAACCTATACTCAGTGTTATCTTGCTCAGTTTACAATGTATTTATTAAATACGCCTGCTGATAACTTATGTTTTAGGGAGAAAATACAGATGATTTTAGGATAGAATGGACCGGTGGCCTGTCAACATTATGTGGCTTCAAAGTGATGAGATGATGGTGTGAAGTCAGTGATTCCTTTACTAGTGGCACTTTGAAATGATGGTGGAAGGCCAAGGTTCCAAACTAAGTGGACTGTTTTTTAGAGGTAAATGTGCACTCTGTACTTGAGTTTAAAATCCTTTGTTCTCCAGAATACCTTTTTGAAAGAAAAATAGCATTTCCTTATGACACAATCAGGCAGTTTTCTTACCTCTGTGTACTACAATTATGTACTGTTAGTTAATTAAATACATATAATTTATATAATTCTATATGTCATTTGTAGAATTAGATTCTGGCCTTTAAGTGATATTTTTAAGAGAAAATTTCTAGGCATTTAATAGCTTATATTACTCTAGCTTTTTAAAATACAAAAATATTTAATCCAATTGATAGCAAATTATTTTGTATAACAATAACCAGCACACAGGTGTTGTTTGATAGGGTGGCTTTTAATTGTGTTGAGACCCTTATTTGAACTCATTTTGAAGCTCTGTTTACATAAAATAGTATACACAAACACACACAATACCAAATGTAAAAGTAACAGAACCAAATGATTACATTGCGTTAATTTAAAAACTTCATGTTGCAAATGAAGAAAAATCTGATTACTATCAAAATAGATTCCCAAATGGGTAAACATAGTTAAGGGATTTTTAAAAATTAATGGATGTCCTTTGACTTTAAGTGTTTCCTACCTGACACTGAGATCATCACAGGATTCGTGTCTTTATTAAAGCATGTGTTTCTTCAGTAGATATGTTAAGGATTAGTAAGAAGACTGAAGGAGAGCTGTTTTTAAAAAAGCTTTTCTTTTCTGAACTCTTCTTGCTTGTTAAGTGGACTGAACAGTTTGTTAGGTGAACCACTATTTAGTACTCATTTTCTTTGACGGTACATTTCAGAAATAACCTAATTGGAAATATGAAGGATACAATTAAGAGTTTTAGAAATACCCAACAAAGGATCCAATCAAAATGTTACAGGGTAAAGTTGAAAAATGTTTAAAGTCTGTATTTAAATGGTGCATTATAATAGAAATGATTATTTTGAATTTCAACAGTGTTGCTCAGGAAATCAGTATTTTTTCTAAAAGTATGTGCATATTGCACAATTAGATCATAGGAATATCTGAATACTTTATTTAATTATCTTTATGTATGTAAACACTATAAACTCTTGTATATGTATTTTATGCAAATATATTGTAGAACATTATGTTAGCACGTACATCTGTAAAAGTGGTTTTTGAAACTTTTCCCCCTATTTTTCATACTTTAAATGATTTGCAAAATGTAATAAAGTTTCTATTTTATTATTCAGTCTAAACTGGTAGCTGCTGAGTTTAATTGAATAACATCGAAGTATATCCTCACAGGATGTGATGTAGAGGAACTACACACAATAGATGAAATTGCTGTTTACCAATTCAGATGTCACTGTTCCAGTGACACGGTCCACTGAGTTCTCTGAAGGAGATGAAATGAATTGTAGACAGATGTCCGTTGGCATCTTCCTCATGGAAGGAGACAGTGAAGTATGATTCATGGCTTGAGTGTAAGACGCTTGCATCACAGTCATGTACTATTTATATGAAAAATGTATATGAAGACAAAATGCTTCAACTTTCAGAATGTTAAGTTTAATAGTAACAAAAAGGAGACAGCCATTGGAGATTTTGTCTAATAAAGGACTTTGTGATAAAATTCCCCCTGCCCATTTTTAAAAACATCTTAAAACTTTTTGTTAACTTAAGAATCTTAATCTACATTAAAGTAAAGCCATTTACACTGTAAATTTGAAGATGAGGAAGGAAAAACAGCAGTATCTTTGACTTGGCGTTCATTTGTATTCAGAAGGCCTGCTGGTGTCTGGTGGGTTAGGAATTGGGCTGCTAAGCACAAGGTCGGTGGTTCAAACCCATCCACTGCTCTACAAAGATGAGGCTGGCTGTCCCCATAAAGATTTAGTCCTAGACACCTGCGCCTCCCCCCCCAGGAGAATTTATGTCAGAGGACGGCACTGAATTGGCAGCTCTGGGAGAGGGACATATCTGATTGGAGCAGCCGGGAGCAGATGAAGGGGGAGTAGGAGAGAGTGGAGCACATCCTGGCCCACCAGGCCTTGAGGATGATGATCCCAATTAGAGCAGCCAGTCCACAGAGAGGACCACATGGCCGGCCCCCCTATGAGACATGACCTCCTTCACTGGCCCACAGCCCTACAGGGGACAACACTGGAGACAGTGTGGGAATTGTGCCCAATCTGATCCCGCCACACCCAGGCAAAACATTAGGGGTGCAACAGAACAGCAAGGGAATGGAGCGGAAAGGTCTCCAGGGAATGCTGAAGGTGGACTTTGGGGCCAGAGTTTGGTGCCCCAACAAACTGGACTGGAAAACACTCCTAAAGGCCAACAAACAGTCCTTGAACGAACTATATATAAAAAAGATTTAGTCCTAAAACACTACACAGGGTCACTGTGAGTTGGAATCAGCTCAATAAGTTATATATATAATGTGTACCCAGTGAAGGAACCCTGGTGAGTGTTAACTGAAACGTCAGCAGTTGGTACCCAATGTATAGTCCAGGACAATTGCTTCCATAAAGGCTCAGAAGAATCAGAGCTCTACTTCATCCTATAGAGTTACGATGAGCCCCCAATGGCAACACGTGTGTGTAACCCTCCCTTTGCCATTAAGTCAGCAACTTTATTTGTAAGTTTGAACCCCTGATCTTTTGGTTAGCAGCTGAGTGCCGAACGACAGCCCGACATTCCTTACACAAACATCCTGTCCACCAGATACCTTAGTTTGCTTTCACCATTTTCCCTAATAACCACATATTCAGAGTTTTCGGTTGGTGACAGTGGTTTTTTGAGGAATATTTGGCACTGAACATCCTGTTCAGTATATTCATAGTAACTTTACTAGGTAAGATATTAGCAAATTGTTTCCACCAAGTAAATAGCATATATTTAAGTCAACGCAAAAGAAGACATCTTAATTTTGAAAAGGACAATTTATTTAAGAATTTAATTGTAAACAAGAGCATTATGGCAACAAGTTCTGCCTGTTACATAGCAATTTCCAAGACAATTCATCAACAAACGGTTTAAAAAGTTTGCCTTCCTGTTGCTAAAAGCTAGAAGTGTGGAGAGATCCTCGAAACTAGTACAACAGTTATATTTATTGTGACTAGATATGATTTAATCAAACCTAAAGTATGAAGAAGGCACTCCCTAACAGGATAGTGAAAGCAGAATAGACAGGCATGTCTGGACAGGGTGGGCTCCTGGAGGTCATTGTGAAGTCCTGCCAAGTCTGTTTCTGAGAGCATGTGCAGGGCCACCGGGCTATTCAGTTGTAAAATTGGCCATTAAGGACATCTGCCTCATCCTAAAACACACTCTCCAGTCAGACCCTGTAATTCCTGCTGCACATCGATGGGCGACTCTCCAAACGAGCCCCATACCTAAGGCCAAATGGTCTCTGCTACGGTGCACTAAGATAACCTGAAAGTGACACTCTGCTGGGAAACTACTTCCTTACCAAGAGCCAATGGCCTGGGTGAGTCACCCAAATCAATGGACCCAGACGAATCTGGATTCCCAAAGAACCAAAGGTTTCTCATGGAATAAGTGAACAGTCTCTGGGATTTGAAGCCACAAAAACAAGACCCCCCTTTTTTCAGCATCTGCAAATACTCCTGGCCTATTCTTCTCGTTATTGAAACCTACGATTAGAATCGTGAAACGGTCTTCCAAAGAGAAGATGAAGAGAATGGCTCTAAGGGGTGGCTGGGGTACTCCAAAAGGAAGTCCTCGCCCAAAGCTCTGCCTTATTGTTGCAGGACTAAAATGTCTTTAAAGAAAGACTTTTACTGTCAGCATATTCGGAAGACTGCAGATGCATCTGAATTATGGTGTTGGCAAGCGGAATATACTACCAGAGACGACCAGAAGAACAAATTTGTCTTTCAAGAAGTACAACCAGAATGCTCCTTCAAAGCAAGGATGACACTTTGTCTCGAATACCTTTGACATGCCATCGGAGGAAGCAGTCCCTGGTGAAGAAGATCATGCTTTGCGAAATAGAAAGCCCATGGAAAAAGGGGAAGATTCTCAATGGGACAGACTGTCAACAGTTTGCAAGTCTGGGCCCAAACATGGCAAAGATTGTGAGGAGGGAAAAGGACTGGATAGGGTTTCATTGTACAAAGGGTCGTAATGAGTCAGAACCTAATGACATCTAATGACAGAACTGAAGATGTGTGACAGTAAAATCCCAATGTCAGTGATCCAAAGGTACTTTATTTGCAACTCGTTACTGAAAACTTCACATGCAGTTTCTACTCTAAGTACAGTAGTCATTGCTGCATTTTTAAGGATGCTTGTTTGACTAATGTTTTCCATTCATAATCTTTAAAATTTTGATACGCTTCTTTAAATGAGAAATCATTCACATATAATAAACAGAGCACTAACATAATCATGAGCTCACACTGCCTTACATTATTTGAGGAAATGTTTTACATCGGAAGGACCATTTTCCTGAGAAAGTAATGCTATACAATGGCATAAGATCATTTAAAATTTAATTTTTCCTTACCATAATATAAATGGGGAAATCAAATTACAATTTTTTAAAATCACTTTTTTAGGGGATCATACAACTCATCACAGTCCATACATACATCAATTGTGTAAAGCACATTTGTACATTCATTGCCCTCATCATTCTCAAAACATTTGCTCTCCACTTAAGCCCCTGGCATCAGGTCCTCATTTTTTCCCTTCCCTCCCCACTCCCGCCTCCCTCATGAGCCCTTGATAATTTATAAATTATTATTTTGTCATATCTTGCCCTGTCCAATGTCTCTCTTCACCCACTTTTCTGTTGTCCGTCCCCCAGGGAGGAGGTCACAGTTCCTTGTAATCGGTTCCAAAATTACAATTTTTTTATGAGGAAAACATGTTTGTTTCTTAAAACTGTATTTTTTGTATTTTTCCAAGCTATAATTTATAGGGTCAGAACCAAATTAAAATTAGGAAGTGATGATTTTTATAAGGTAAGATAGTGCAAGTGGTAATTTTTGGTTGATGTTATCACAATTTTTATAGGAAATTATTCACAAATGGCAAAACTAAGGCACAGAAAACATAACCAAGGTCAGTTTCAAAGTTGACCCTAATAATACAGCTAGGCAGAATCTAGGTCTCTTTAATTCTCAGGTTGTGGATGGCCGGTGGTACTGTCCAAAAAGGAAAAATAAATTATTTATTTTGTAATATTAATAAGTCCTTTTAATAACATGAGGACCTTCAAAGGTTTGTGGAAAAATAATGGAATTTTTCCCCACAAACTTTATGAATCCCCGTACTACACTAGAATTCCCTTGAATGTCTTTGGTGTTTGTCATATATATATAGTTTTTGAAGGCTAAGGTTTTGAGGTTTTTCCCCAAGAAATACAAAAAGACATAGGGGCTAGCTTTTACTTTAGCCACCCCCCAAAAAATATTAATCTTAATTTCAAAATTACCTGAGTTTATCCTGCATTGGACTATAAACCAGTTGTACAATTTATGAGTCCTATGAAACAGAAGAGGTCACACATACTGTTCTGAGATTTACATAATCAGAACTCAGTTCACACTTTTGTGTTACAAACTTAAATGAAATGTCACAGTCTGATTTTTTTCAAAAGCCCAATTATTCAAAAATGTCAAACTTATCACAAGAGGATAGTGAATTCAAATACTAGGGTAAGTTAAAAATATTGCTTCTGAATCATAAAAAACTTCATTAAATAAAAATATCATAATGTAAAAACATTGTTTAACAATTTCGACCCCACCTAAATCTACACATGTCTGTAGGTAGGGTTTCCATCTCTCTAACCTTTCTTTAAAGAATTCCATGCTCTTTGATTTATACCATCTCAAAATAGCAGTTTGGGCATATTTTTGATGTACTCAATTTGTGCTCTTTTCCAATGTTCTTTAAGTTTGTATTGTATAAATGAAGTTAGTTCCACATTCAAGTATTTCTCTTATCAACCCTTTTCCTGATATGTTTATTTTCAATCATAAAACTTCTAATCTCCAAACTCTGTACTTGGTTTATGTAGTCATAACAAAGTAGATTAAAACATATCATGGAAAGTAAAAATAAAATTATTTTCAAGTTTCTTTGTTTTTAAAGTGCTCAATGTGCAGTGTTTTAGACGAGGGAAAATGATGTTTTAGACTGCAGAAATCCATGAGGATGATGAGTAAGAGTTTTATAATGGACCAAAAGTTAAACAATAATCATTTGTTCAAGTATGAATGCATAGACTGAGAGATGTTCAAAGGCTTTTCAGGCACAATCGAACCCAAAGACGACTTTGAATACATAAAAGGTTGGCAGAGTGTTTCCAGGGAACATCGGAGTATCACGCATTCAGATGTACGCCAACTACTGTGTAAACAATGTGGTTCTGAAACTTTCAGTAACAACTTTTGAACACAGCAGGAACAAAAATAGAATACTTACTCCTTTCTTATCAGAAATGAAAATGAAAAGAAGCCTGTCCAAATGTTCCGAAATTGCATCCTGAAATGTTTTGAGCCATGTCATGACTAATAGGTTGCTTCATCCATGTTGTCATCGCTGTCTGCACCAAAATCATCTCCATTGTCAAAGTAAGAATTAATGTAGTCATTTTCCTAAGTGAAATGAGATCGAGCCCAGTAAATATTAGAATGAATGAACAGTAGCATTATTAGAAAATACAACATACATTGTCCTATTAGTCTACATTGACAAATACCAAATTTTCGGTCTATACAAAGAAAACATACCAAGTTTAGCAAACATACCTGCTTAAAAAAAAATACCTTTATTTTCACACACATCTCCCTGTGTTGTTTCATCCTCAAGAGCACCACTTAACACAGCTCTTTTGCCATCAAATAGGTTTCCCAGAATATCTTAGTAGAGTGTCCCAATTTTTAAAAGTTAGCATAAAGTTTACAACACATCACCAAATGTTCACACACTCAAGAAACAAAGCCAGTTTCCATAAACATTGATTAGACTACACAAAGGTAAGGTTCGGGGTCACAAAGCAAACAGCATGAGCAGAGAGACAGTTTGCTTGCTATCAAGAAGAAATGAGCTCCAGGGCGGATGATCCCTTCAGGACCAGTGGTGTGAGTTGGAAAGAGGGAACCGATTACAAGGATCTACATGTGACCTCCTCCCTGGGGGATGGACAACAGAAAAGTGGGTAAAGGGACACATCGGACAGGGCAAGATATGACAAAATAATAATTTATAAATTATCAAGGGCTCATGAGGGAGGGGGGAGCGGGGAGGGAGAGGAAAAATGAGGACCTGATGCCGGGGGCTTAAGTGGAGAGAAAATGTTTTGAGAATGATGAGGGCAATGAATGTACAAATATGCTTTACACAATTGATGTATGTACGGATTGTGATAAGAGTTGTATGAGCCCCTAATAAATAGATTTTTTGTTTTGTTTTGTTTTTTGTTTTCTTTTTTAACATTTTATTAGGGGCTCATACAACTGTTATCCCAATCCATACACACATCAATTGTGTAAAGCGCATTTGTACATCGTTTCTCAAAACATTTTCTCTCCATTTAAACCCCCGACATTAGGTCCTCATTTTTCCCCTCCCTAAATAGATTTTTAAAAAAAGAAAAGAAGAAGAAGAAATGAGCTCAAGATAACCAAACCAAAGGTGGAGAGGTTGACAGATTACATTCCATCCAGGAATATAATTTTATTTTAGATCATTCTTTTATTTTATTTTACTTCAGATAAAGAGTAGGCCCTTAGGAACCTTCCAATTAACATGGCTGTGTAAAACAATTAACCATACCATAACCAGGTTATCTGTGCTTTCTATCTTCAAAGAACTAAGGAAAAACATTCATTTTAGATACAGAGCAAAATAAAATGAAGAGAGTTAATAACCAATTGCTGTTCATGGGCTGTATTTGGATTCTGATTGGAACCAATAATGTTTCAAATTCTCTTTTGAGACAATCGGGAAAGCATGGAGTTTATATATGAAGACATTAATGAATTATATTTATTAGTGAATCATAGTTCATTGTTAGATATAATGATATTGAGCTGTCATTACTTTAAAGATATACACTGAAACATTTATGGATACAATACTAAGATTAAGATTTGCTTCAAAATAAGGGGAAAGGGCAGGCACAGATCTGATTAGTTTGAAAGATTCGCTATGAATTTATCATTTTTGAACCTGAATGGTAAGTCATTAGGTCTTTACTTTGCTATTTACTTGGTTTATATATGCTTGAAATCTGCCATAATGGATTTCCACATCCCTACTATCTATAATAATAATAATAATTATCACTGAATAAGGAATAAATAGAGACCATTCTCAAGAGAAAGTTGCTTGAAGGCCTGCTTCATTAATTACTTTTGGAAGACTTTATCTTACATAAAGAAGGAATACACACAAACTTCAAAAACTTCATGGAAAAATTCATTTAAATTAAAAGTTTGAAGCTCTCTCATCTACATACATATGATGGGCAGAACGGTCACCTTAATTACTCAGACATTTATTTCACTAGGTCTCTCCTGAACAGTCTTTAAGTCTGCATCAAGCTCAGACGCTCTCCTCTTTAGGAAACTGACGTGGCTTCTCTGTGCCAAGAAATCCAATCACGTCTAGCAACCTGGCTGAAGTGTGGGGCCAGTGTACCAGAGATAGGTGGCAGGGTGGAGAGTTCGTCTGAGGCCACCTTGTAAAAGAGACCCCAGCTAGGCCATCTATGTGGGGATATAAGGAAGCCAATGTGCATAGAAGTGGAGATGAACTAGGGAAGGACACTCTACTATTCCAAACGAAGTATCTGCCACTTGTATCTCGGACATGAGCACTTCCAAAGATGTGCAGTGAGTCAAACCATGTCATATGTGTGATGTTAGTAATCTTGATATAGATATATTAGTAGCGGAATCTGTTGAAACAGATGGTTCACGTGAGAGTTTCAGATTACCTCTCACGTTTAGTGTAAAATAAAGCAAATAAATAATATAGGATTTCAGAGTTGAGGCACTTTCTGGTGAAGAGGATTCAGAGTGATGTGAGAAACGGAAACGCAGTGAAGGCAAAGGTCACTGGAATGGAGAAGAAACTGCAAGAGTTATCGGGCAAAATAGCTACAAAGTCTCAACAAGGGGTGACCAACAGGCTTATCCTACTCTGAAAGGTCTGCCCTGGTCACTGATTGTTAAATACAACATGTGCTAACAGTTGGAAATCCAACTCCAGTGTGCAAAGTCCTGACTCAGCCAAAAACCTGCAGTTGGCTTATAAATGTCCTCTACTGGTCTAAGTGACTGGCTTGGCTGCCGACTGAAAGGTTGGGTGGGTCTACTGAAAGGCACCACAGGAGACAGGTCTGGCGATCTATTTCTGAATAACCTGCCATTAAAGAGGCGCTGTGCACTCTCACACGCAGGCGACGGCAAGGCTCAGAGTCAACTAAGAGGCAACTATTATCTACAATGTACCTTGGGTTAATGGAAGTCTCCCTTAGACCTATGTGAACAAACCTTTCATCACGTTAATTTCTGATTTTAAATTTCATGGGGATAAATATTAAGTACAATGCAATTACTTTTCCAAATCTGTGGACTTCTGCTTATGAAGTTCCCTAGGGGAGTGTTTTTACCTCCTGCATTTAATGTGGCATCATTACGATGGCAAGACGAATTCTCTTAACGACTTGATGCTGGTGAGAATAACTTACTGTGTGCTCCCATCAACTTGGGGTTCGTTTGCTGGTTTTAATTAAATACTATCTATCAGATCCCTCGTTATAATCCTTGAGCTTCACACATCATTATCCTTCTGAAATGGAGCATTACCTCTTCCTGTTCCTCTTCATCGTACTCCTCCTGTTCTGCAGCAGCATCTTCTTCATCATCGTCCCCTTCTTTATTTTTCTCTTTACCTCCTTCTTTCTCTTCAGTTTCCTCGTCTGATTTCTCACCATCACCTCTCTTTTCCAATTCCTGTCATCAGAGAGCTTCGTTAATGTACATAGAAACTTGCTGATTTTGACACCCCTTCCCAGCTGCAAGAAAAATAGTTACCTAACATGCTATTTTAATCTTCTCTTTTACCCACCTAGAAAGCTACAAGTTTACAAAAAACAAGGAGGAACTAAGTATCCTATAATTACACTACTATTTACTTCAATTTTGTTACCTTGTTATTAAGTCTTTAATAATAATGGGGTTACACATTTCTAATGCATAATTGTTGTTCAGTGACTTCTACCCTACCTCCTTTTAAAATATTTGAGGTGATTCTATTTAAGGCGAATTTTTCAGACTATTTATTTCATTCCAAAAGAGAAAAATAAAAGCTTCAGCTTTAACAGAACAAAAAACTGTAGCTAAGATTTCAGAATGCCATGTCGTGGAAAGGGAACCCCAGAGGCGCAGGGGTTACATGGACTGCTAAACACGAGGCCAGCAATCTGAAACCAACAAGCAATCCACAGAAGAAACTTTCTATTCCTGAAGAGTCACTCCTGGAATTCCAGAGGCAGTTCTGCCCTGGCTTTGAATTGGGTTTTTTTTTTAGTGGTTTTAGTTTAAAAGATCACATAAAACACCACCAAGTCCCGCTGAGATGAATGTTCCTATCTGTAGATAACTATGCCTCCCTTTTTGTTTTTATTATTTGTTTTCCCATTCTCAGGAATTTTTTGCTTCTGAATGTATCTGGCAAGTTGAGAAGGAAGCAAAGATTAAAACTCCAATCAGAACCAACCTTAGCACCTGTCGGTAAAACTAAAGGAGGAGGCAAGGACGACACGCATATGGAGAGTGAAGCTGTCATTGCATGACTGTTCGGTCATCAGCCCTATTAAAACCACTGTTACTTCCTCAATGGGAACAAATTTAACTTAAAAGCTTAATCATTTCTATTATGATTAACAACAATTTCTTAATTTGATAACTGCTGTATTTTCATTACTGTCTGGTCACTAGTCAGTTTGCATAACTGAAGGTTAGCACTAGTGGTATCTTCACATATTATTACTCATAAATTAAGGTTCAAGATGTGATCATTTGAAAAGCTTACTCAGAACATTAATGCATGAATCTGAAAATACTGCTTTCTCTATTATATTTGCTTTGTAGATTAAATACATAGGGAAAACACATTTTTTAATTGAGAGTAAATGCAATTTAGATGTTCTTTAATGGCTCTCAAATATGTATTTTTAAAAATTATTTTACTGGCATATATTTAACATATCATACATTTTAATAATTTCATCATATTAAGAATTATCAATCACCACAATCAATTTCAAAACATTTTCTTCTTTCTCATACTCATTGCTGTTACCGTCTCATGTCCCCCTAAATTCCCCTGCCAGGCTTCTAGATAATTATTTTTATTTTTATAATGTTCTCATTGGTTTATTATGATCTACACAGTCCAATGCCTTTGCATAGTCAATGCAACACAAGTAAACATTTTTCAGACATTCTCTACTTTCAGACAAGCTCCATTTAACATTAATACCAGACCTATGATTTTCCATGTTTTATTGTTAATACTTACCTTAAATTCTTTTTTGCTATATATACATTCTCAATTGCTAATTTTTAAAAAATCATTTCATTGGCGGCTTGTACAACTCTTATCACAATTCATCCATCCATTGTGTCAAGAACATTTGTATATTTGTTGCCATCATCATTCTCAAAACATCTTTCTACATGAGCCCTTGGTATCGGCTGATTTTTCCCCCTCCCACCCTCCCTCACAAACACTTGATAATGTATAATTTCTTTTTTCTTTCATGTCTTACACTGACTGGTGTCTCCCTTCATCCACTTTTTGGTTGTCTGTACCCAAGGGAATGGGTTACATGTAGATCACTATGGTCAGTTCCCTCTTTCTCTCCCACCTTCCCCTTACCCACCTGGTATCACTACTCTCATTATTGGTCCTGAGGGGCTTATGTGTCCTAGCTTCCCTGTGTTTCCAGTTCTTATCTGTATCAGTGTACATCCTTTGGTCTAGCCAAATTTGTAAGGTAGAATTGGGATCATGATAGTGGGTGGGGAGGAAGCATTAAAGAACTAAAGGAAAGTTGTATGTTTCATCGGTGCTATACTGCACCCTGACTGGCTGGTCCCCTCTGCGTGACCCTTCTGTAAGGGGATGTCCAGTTGCCTACAGATGGGCTTTGGGTCTCCACTCTCCACTCCCCCTCATTCACAATATGATGATTTTTTGTTCTTTGATGCCTGATACCTGATCCTATCGACACCTCGTGATCACACAGGCTGGTGTGCTTCCTCCATGTGGGCTTTGTTGCTTCTCAGCTAGATGGCCGCTAGTTTATCTTCAAGCCTTTAAGACCCCAGATGCCATATCTTTTGGTAGCCGGCACCATCAGCTTTCATCACCACATTTGCTTATTCACCCGCTTTGTTTTCAGTGATCATGTCAGGAAAGTGAGCATCATGGAATGCCAGATTAATAGAACAAAGTGTTCTTGTGTTGAGGGAGTACTTGAGTAGAGGTCCAATATCCATCTGCTACCTAATACTAAACGTATAGATACATGCACATAGATATATTTCCCCATCAACTTATATAAATATATTTACATATGCACATTCCTGTATTTAGACCTCTATAAATGCCCTTTGCCTCTTAGTTCTTTTTACTTTCCTCTTGTCCCACTATCATGTTCAGCCTTCATTTGGGTTTCAGCAATTCCTCTCAGTTACATTGCCCTTGATCAAGCCCTACCAGGCATCCTACACCCTCCTCGCCATCTATTTTGGATCACTTGTTGTTCTCTTATCCCTGGGTTTGCTAACACCACTTCCTTTTCCCCGTCGCTCCCTCTCCCATTTCCCCCCAGAACCATTGCTCCCGTTGTTGTTTTCTCCTCCAGCTTGTTTGTCCCACCTACCTTACCTAGATAGACCTGTAGAGATAATATGCACACAAAAAAACAAGACAGAGCAAAACAAAGCAACAACAAGAAAACCAAGGCCCCCCAAAAAGAAAATCCTGTAAATGGTTCAAGGTCTGTTTGTTGACCTTTAGGAGTACTTTCTGGTCAAATCTGATGGGGTGCCACCCCCTGGCCCCAAAGTTTATTTTTGGAATTCCCTGGGGACTTCGTTGCTCTGTTCGCCTTGCTGTTCTGTTGCGGGATGTTTTCTTGATATATAATTACTTCTTGATATAAAGCTCTTTGTTACACATATATATCTATGAGTGTCTCTGGATTTATATCTTTAGTCAACCCGCTTAACGGTCACCCCAAATTTAGACACGCCTACAAGAGTAAGCAAAAAGTACTGGGAACTCAAGTTAAGATGGTCTCCAAGAAGGTGGTTGGTTATACCTCTGTTGGTAAAACAGGTGGAGTAATAGCCCACTGAGTTAAAAAGCTGAAGGATACTTATATAGAACTCCAGGGGAAAATATACCTGGTATTATGGTCTTAATTGGACATTTTTGACATAGTTTCTATCCAGCCCTTAGTGACCCCAGCTGTGTGCTGTAGGCTACTGGGACTTTCGAGGTATCCAACATCCTTCATGGGCATGCCACAAAAATTTGATGTGGAAAACCCACTGAGGAAACTGGGCTTTATCCCAAACTCACATGTAGCAGATCTAAGGACCTAAAACACTCCTTGAACTTACGGCTGAACTGCTATAGTGTGAGAAGCAGATGACTGCCGCCCCACGGTTATGGGATTGGTGGTCTTTGGACTTTGGTTTGCGTTTTTTGTCTGAAGGTGCCCAATGAATGGCGGACTGAGACAACTATATATTTACTATATATAATGTTCTCCTTCGTTTCTTATGACACGCCTTTATGTGGTAGGCAAGGTTCTGCCTTTGTGAATGAGTGTTACTAAAAGTTTTTCCCAATCACCACACACCGATGTTTGTGTAAATACTGTCTTAAGCTTCTAATCTGTACAATTAAACAATTCATGTATTTAGAACTGAAAAGGCAGCCTGTACATGTATAATTTCCTTCTCTCAACTGTGTTTTAAATTCTATTATCATTGGCTAAATAATGATATGATTAATAGTATTACCTTACACCCCAGGGGGATGAT